GTACCGCCGCGGCATCCCCTGCTCCGTATCCTCCGCCAGGTACCGAGCGAGAGCTGGCTGAATGTGTCAGTGCCCCCCTCCATCTAGAGGAGGCTCCGGGAGTTGTATTTCCAGGAGGGAACGAGCGGGCTGCGGGCGGTGCTGTGCGGGGCTGGGGAGGTGGGGATGGGGCTGCCCGTGTGTGGTTTTGGGGTTTTGCAGGTACCTGCTCTGTGTGACATCGGCGGGTGGTGATGTGCGGGCATTGCACAGATCTGCGTGTGGAAACAGCTTGGTTTGGGGGGAATCGCTTGTAAAAGGCATACATGCTGGAGTTTAAATACGTTTTCAAGAAACCTGGAAAGCTCAGGCGGTGAGGAATGTGGGTTTTACACAAACTGTGGACTTTTTCCGTTCAGTTGCATAAGAGCTGTTACATTGGGGGCGGAGAGGGGGTGTTGCTTCCCTCTGCTTGTTTGCTTGTTTGCTAGGGCAGTTTCTGCCGGGCTCCTCTGAAAGAGGGAGGATGCGGGGTTATGAACAAGCTGAAATGAATAAAGTAACCCTAGGAATGAACAATACTGGCAGTGCCAGTGAGAGCTTTCAAAATCCCATAACATTTTCCAGCTGCTCACTCTAAAAACATCAGGCTGGAGCTATAAACTGCTTGCCACAGGTGTGTTAGAAGGGAAGGGATTCTGAGAGGGAGAGTGAGCCAGAACTATGCTAGCCTGAGCAGTCACAGGTAGGCAGGGTTTATTACTGGCAGGTAGAACTGCTTGCATTGGCTACTGGCTAACTTAGAGGCAGCTGGTGCTGTTTGTAAGCAGGTCCTGGATTTATGGATAGACTGTGATCCTAAATTTCCACATACACACATGAACTCCCTTGCCTCCAGCTGAGAGAAGCGTCTGCCCTTCCTTCTCCTGTGGTCCTGTGCACGGATGAATGCCTCACATGTGGAGGAGCAGGGAGCAGCACAGGGCCCTGCTCATGCTCTGAGCCTGGCAGCCCCTTGCCAGGGCACAGCTGCTCAGGTCTGGGCAGGCTGGAAATGCCAGTCCCAAACGGGATTGGTGTGCCCATCCCAGGGGATCAGAGAGGGGCTGGGGTGGATGTGCTGCTGCAGCTCCTGGGGGCAGCAAGTGGGATGTGCTGGGGGGTGGGATCAGGGGATCCCTGCTGGAGGGGAGCAGAGGGAGGGAGGATGACCCTGCTCACACCTTGCTGCTTCACAGAGAGAGCTCCTGCCCTGGGGGGCTGTTGAAGACGGTGCAGCCTCTGGATGGGGGCACTGGGAGGCAGCTGGGGCTGCTGCAGCTCAGCTGCCTGGTCACAGGCTGGGATGCAGCCAGAGCTCCCTGGCATGGCCATCACATGGCCTGTGGAGAGCAGCCTGGGGACTGAGCACAGAACCGAGCTGCAGGGCCTCAGCCCAGCTCTCATGGGCTTGCTGTGGTGGTCTGGAGGATGTTGAGACGCTTCTGGCAGGTGGAGGTACAGGAAAGGGGCTGTGACTGTCAGGATGGAGCAGAAGGGTTTGGTAAGAAGGGCTGTGGTGTCTCCTGTGTGCGTGCCCAGGGTGGGTGTGCACAGCCCTCCCGCAGCACCCCATGTCACACTCAGGGGCCACTTTTGCTCGCCCTGAGTGGGGAAAGATCAATGAAGGAGGGACAAGCACTGATGCAAACAGGTGAAGACAGAGGGTGTTCCCCACCCATGCACAGCAAGCCCCCAGCTGGCACAGGGGCAGCCACGTCCTCCCGCCTCACTGAGCACCTCCCTGCACCTGCAGCCTGCGCTGGCCCATCTGCTCATCCCTGACCTCCTGCCTCAGCCCTGCTCTGCTCCCTGGGCCTGTGCCCTGCTCTCCTCCCGCTCTGCCGTCTGCCACAGCCCCCTGCCCTTAATCCCTGCCTCCCCTCACGTCCCTGCTGCCTCTGCCCCTGTGGACCAAGCCCATCTGCTCCTGCCGGCAGCCCTGCCTTCAGCTGGAGCAGCCTGGGCCTCCATCTGTCCTACAGCATCCTACATCCTTCCCACACGCTGCCTTCCTCCCAGCCAGCTTCCCTCAGCACCTGGCTGTGCTGCTCGGCTCAGAAAAGCTGGCTGTACCTGTGGCACCCACTCAGGGGGATGGCAGGAGGGAGGAGGCTCTGTGTGCTCACTGTCCCGGGGATCTGAGGGGGTTTCTCCATCACAGATCTGCTCTGTGTCCTTGCCTCTGATGGAGGGACCCATGATGCTGCAGCCCTACAGAGCAGCATCCCCATCCCATCTCCTCCCTGTGCCCTGTCTGTGGCAGCACCCACAGCAAGGGCTGAAGGCTTTTGGGTTGTTCCCTGCACTGGCAGCACTCCAGGAGCTGCAGCAGGACAGGCCACCCCTGCCTGACACTGCTGGAGCTGTTTCTGGGATCCAGTTCCTACAATGCTGCTGCTGGGATTCTGATTGTCCTCACAGCTGTCCCACCACACAGTCCATGCTGTGCTGAGCACAGCCCAGCTCTGGGAGCACCACCAGCACTGGTGACAGCATGGCTGTGACAGTGACAGGAACCACACTCCTGCAGCATGGCTGTGATTCCCCTCCCCAGCTTCTGCCCAAGCTGGGGCCCTCCTTCCATCTCCTGCTCCCAAACTTCTTTGGCAGTGCAGGCACTGCTGTTTGCTGGGCAGGGGGGTGACAGTGTCTCTCTCTGTGTCCCCCAGGAGTTTCTGTGCCTACGTGGTGCAGCGCAACGTGACGTGCACGCTGCAGGACGGGGCCGAGAGCTACGTCAAGGCTGAGTACCACAAGTGCAGCTGGGGACCCAAGTGCCCAGGGAAAGTGCTGTGAGTATGGGGCACACTGGGCCATGGCTCCCTTCCCCTCCCAAAGAGGTTTATCTCCTGAGACCCCGTGCCACCTTTCCAGAGGGCAGTGAAAGGGGCAGGAGGGCTTTTCCTGGACATGGCAGGCAGTGGTGTTGGGAGGAGGCAAGGTGGGATCTGTCAGGAGGGAGAGGGAGCTCTATCCCTCCTCAGAAACTGTCAGGGGAGGTTGAGATTGGCTATCAGGAAGAGGTTTTCACCCAGATGGCAGCTGAGCACTGGAAAGGTTCCCCAGGGAAGGTGATCATGGCACTGAACCTGACAGAGTGGAAGGAGAATTTGGACAATGTTCTCAGGCTCATGGTATGATTTTAGGGGTGTTCTGTGCAGTTGCTGAGCACAAAGATCCTTAAGGGTCCCTTCAAACTCAGGATATTGAATGATTCAGCAATGAATCTGTAAACCATGGGAAGTGGGGAGGTGCCTGTGCAGATGTGTAGGAGAGCAGTTTGTCGTGGACCTGCAATGTGGCAGAATGATGGCAGCTCAGTGAGAACCTGGCTGAGAGGATGAGGAAATGCACCCTGTGGCTGGGGATGGCTCAGTGCTTCTTGCTCCAGGAAAATACCTGCAAAACCCTGCCACCTGGTCAGTGCTGGAGGGAAACACTTCACTGTGCCGCAGATGGAGCCACCAGTGGTGCAGGGGCTTTGTGCTTCACCACCTCCAGGGATGCTGCTCCGTGTGGAAAAGCTCTCCTGCATCCTCCCCAGGCTGGAGGAAGAGCAGAGCTGAGCACAGAGGAGAACTGGGATGAGAGGAGTTTTGGTCTGAGCCTTGTACCCATCCTGTTGCAGCTGGCTGGGACTCTCCCTGCCCCAGTGGTGCCACGGGCTCTGCTCAGAACCTCTCCTGGCAGAGATGGGCAGCTGGACCCACCCACCACTTGCTCTTCCCATCACAAGGGTTTTGGCAGCATTTGGGGACTTCAGGACATCCTGCAGCTGCTGGTACCCATGGAGGAGATCTCCAAAGCTTCTCCCATCTCCATGATGCCCTCTGTTATTCTCCTTCAAACAAAACCAGGGGGTTTTCTGAGAGCAGCTGGACCCACAGCTGTATTTTCTGCAGAGCCTCAGATGCTGCATCCATGGACAAAAGGGAAGGATGGATTTTCCACGTGCTGGGGCCATCAGTGAATGTTTGTGCAGCTGGCTGCAAATACTTCCCCTTGCTGCTGTTTGGAGCAGGGGTGGAAAGATTTAGAGGTGCCCAGGGCTTTGAGCTCCTCTGCAAAGGCTGGGATGATGCTGAGAAGGTGCTGGGATGGCACAGAGAAGCTGCTCTGCCTTGTGGATGCCACCCCCCTCCTTTCTTCACCCCCTGACACGGGCTGGAGCAGCAATCTCCTGTGGTACATCCAGGCAGGTTTCTACACACTACAACAAGAGCAAAGATCATTGAAACTCAGCAGCATCTGTGAAGAGGAGTATCCAGAAGAGCTTGTTTTGAAACTGTCCCTTTGGGAAATTGATGTTGAGAAATTTTGAAGAGGCTTTGGGTTTGGTTTATCCCCCTGCCCTGTGGTGTGTATGGAGGTGGCTGTATCCCACTGGGACTTGTGTGGGAGCAGCACTACCAGAGCTGGGGACACTCTGGATTCAGACAAGGACATGGATGGCAGGACTCAGCCCCATGTGCTGTTCTGACTGATGGATTGGTGCCTTCTGCAGGATGGCTGTGCTGCTCCTCCAAGACCTTCTGCTGAACATGCTGCAGAAGAACAAGAGGCTGATGGTGTATGTTGTTGCAAAACAGTAAACTTCAGGATTTTCAGGCCCTGGTAAATTCAGATTGGATATTTCCAAAAGGCAGGCTTAAAGCATTGGTGTTTGGAGGTGGTGAGAAAAGTGCTGTGTTCATTACTGCTGCCCCACAGGGAAGCAGGAGCAGCTGAATCCTTCCCCAAGGCTGGTGGGACCCCATCCAGAGCAAGAGCAGAGGGGGAATTGTGAGGTGGGCCTGCACCTTGTGTGCTGGGTATGGGAGGATCAATGCTGTATCACCAAATTTGTGATGCAGACACTTCCCAGGGCATCCCAGCTGGGGCACGAGGCAGGGTAAGGAGCCATCCCTCTCTCAACATCACAGCATCACCCTGGAGACCCTCACCAGGCCAGCCCAAGCCCCTGTAGGCCTCCCAGCAAACTGATGCCCTCCACACAGAGAGAAAACACCTTTCCAAAGGCATTTCAACCCTCATGGGGGCTTCCAGACAGGATTACAGTTGAGAAGAGAATTTTTTTGATCACACTAGGAAATTCTGTAGGTCAATTCAAAATCCAAGCCACTTTTACAAGCAGTCCACTTCCCTCTTGGAAGTGATGTGAGCTTGCAGGGCTTTTGAAATCAGTTCCATCATTTCATCTTGTGCTCTGTTGGCCAGGAGTTGCCAAACAGTGTCACAGTGGTCACTTATCAGGCCAGGAACTGCAGCAATACATTTAGAGCTGCAGTTCTAAATAACCACAGTGTCCCAGGTTAGAAAATACTCACCAAGACCCCACTGTAATTCTGCAGTGAGCTGTGGTGCAGCAGGAGCTCTTGGAGAAGATGGGCCGTGGTCTGCAGGTGCAGCACAAGGGTTTCAGCCAGGCTTCCCCATGTGCCCAGATCTCCCACACCCAGCAGGACCATGACCCTGCTCTATGGCTGATGCTGAGGTTGCTTCTCTAACCTGTCTCTCTCTCTCCCTCCCCTCTCCTGCAAGGTACCGCACCTTCTTCAGGCCCAGGTACAAGATTGGCTACAAGACAGTGACCGAGCTGTCCTGGAGGTGCTGCCCTGGCTTCATGGGAGAAGGGTGCCATGACAGCCCCACAGACCAGCCTGGCCTCCTGCCCCAGCACCCCAGCCCCAAAATGCCCCCTGGGCAGAAGATGTTTCCAATGCCCAGGCTTCCTCCCTATCCCAAAAGCCACCCTGACCTGTTTCCAGGACCAAAGAAGAATCAATACGGTGAGATCTTGCTCCTGCTTCAGGCCACCTCTTGCACTTGAACCTCCAGGTTCTCTTTGTTCCAGGTTCAGAACATGAATCTAGCAAAAATTCAGTGGGTGACAGGTTTTCCGTCAGAGACCTGACACTTGATTGCTTTGAGGACCACTTGCTTTTTAAATCTTGTTTTTTTTCAAAACATTCAGCTTCAAAATTGCCTTTCCTCATTGTTTTAGAGCATTTTCCCAGTAATTGTGGAGTTGATAGGGGCTGTCTCAAGATTAAGCTCTCCTGGGCTGTTATCATCACCTGCTGTTGAACTTGGGACAGAGGCCTGGATCCCTAGAGGAAAGAGGGTTTCCTGATAGCTTAAGGAGAGATGTGGGCTGAGATTTTGCTGAAATGAGAATAACAGAGGGCAGGACACAAGAAATTATGGGAAAGAAGTTGAGGGAAGGAAGTTAAAGGAGCACCAGCCCTCACTGTGCCCTCTCTATTTGTGGTAAAGTTCCTCACTCAGGGCTCACCAAATGTGGTGGTGTTTGCAGGAGTCCCAGGATGAGGGAAGAGATGAGAATCTTGACTCCATGTTTCAGAAGGCTGATTTATTATTTTTATGATATATGCTATATTAAAAGAAAATGCTATATTAAAACTACACTAAAAGAATAGAAGAAAGGATTTCATCAGTAGGCTAGCAAGGAAAGGCAAGGAATGAGAATAAAATCTTGTGACTGCTCACAGCCTTGACACAGGTGACAATCATTGGTCATCAAGTAAAAAATATTTCACATGCTGGGTAAACAATTCTCCAAATCACATTCCAAAGCAGCAAAACATGGAGTAGCTGAAGCTTCTCAGGAGAAAAGATCGTGGCAAAAGGATTTTTCATAAAATATGTTTGTGACATCTCTTTCTTTCCCCGTGCAGGCAGGAAGCTGCCTGGCCTCTTTGGGGACCGCCTGGACCGGCTGGAGGAGGAGGTGAGGCGCCTCTCCCAGTCCTACGACAGCCTGCACGCCTTGGTGAGCGGGCTGGGGGACCGCCTGCGCCTGGCCATCCAGGAGGACACCACCAAGATGATCGGCTCCCTGATGAACAGCCCGGGCACGCCGGACTCCTCCGTGGGTTTCGGCATCATTCCCGATGGGCTGGTGGACGTGGCAGACAAAGCCGACATGGCCACGTACCCTCCCGTAGGGGACATCCTGACCAAAGTGACCGAGGTGAGCGACGTGCTGAAGACCAAGGCGGATCTGCTGCACGAGGTGCGGGGCATGGTCCTGGACCACGACGGGCAGATCAAGCACCTGCTGGAATCCGCCCGGCCCTCGCCCCTCACCTCCATCGACCTGCTGGAGGAGTACGTGGACACGAGGCTGAGCAGCCTGCGTGGGGAGCTGCTGGATGGCTTTGAGAAGAAGCTGGGCAAGATCCAGACCACATGTGATTTCCGCATCCAAGAGGTGCGGCAGCAGTGCGAGGAGGAGAAAGCCGCCAACCTGCGGCTGCAGCAGACGCTGGATGGGAAGGAGCTGGAGATCAAGAAAGAGATCTCTCAGCTGGAGACCCAGATCCAAGGGCTGACGGTGGTGGAAAGCTGCTGCAGCAACCTGGACTACCTCACTGATCGCATGAACATCCTTGAGAAAGGCCTTCACAGCATCTCCGAGTCCCAGAAGAACCTGCACTCACGTCTGGATGGAGAAATCTCCACTGTCACCCTAGGGAACCTCTTTGAAGGGCGCTTCGAGGACCTGGAAGCCAGGCTCAATGCCACAGAGAGGGAAATGGGGAGCTGCTGCTCTGGTATAGAGGACAGCATGAAAGGCACGGTGGTGGCAGAGGTGGATGGCATGAGGACTGCCTTTGAAGACAAAATGCAGACCCTGGAAGACAGGTTCATGACCATCGTGGGGGAGCTGAACAATGTCAGTTCTCCCATGGGCATGGACGGAGCAGTGGTGCCTGTGCTGGAAGGGGAGCTTGCCAGCATGAGGAAAAGGACAGATGAGACACTGGAGGCATTGCAGAATCGCCTCATCACCCTGGAGACCACCTGCTCCCTGGGCTGCACCTCTGCCTCCAAAGATGTGGAGACCTTTCGGACGGAGATTGAGGACTGCCAGAACAAGAACCAGGACCTGCTGCTCCGCATGGACAGCAATTACGACCTCCTGCGCAAGCTGAACGCCACCATCCTGGAGATCCAGCGGCGCATCGAGGAGGAAGCATCGGGGGCTTTGCAAGGGGAGATCACCTTGCTGAAGATCAACCTGAACACTGTGAGCAAGTCTCTGACAGGGCTCAAGGACTCAGTCTCCCAGTACTCAGACACCGTGACGCATGTCAATTCCTCGCTAGATGAGCACGAGCGGAAGATTGAGGACGAGGTCCACTCCATCCAGGAGAAAGTCAACGACCAAGGTTCCCAGCTTTTCTTCAGCAACCGCCGCGTCCTGAACCTCAAGGGAGACCTGGAGCGACTCAAAGCCAGGATTGTGAGCGACCTGAGCTCCTGCAAGAGCGTGGCCCACGGCCTGCAGCAGGAGGTGTCTCGCTTCGACGAGCGGGTGGCGCGGGTGGAGAGCGCCTGCGGCCGGCTGGGGGCCATCCCCGGCAGCCTGGACGGCATCAGGGAGGAACTGGAGAAACACACGGGCAGCCTGTGGGACTACATGGACCACGTGAACGGGACACTGGCTGCCCACTCTCAGGAAATAACAGGACTGAAGGACAACTTGCTCGACTGCCAAGCCAAGGTCTCTGAGCTGGCAGAGCAGGTCGGGCACTTGGAGGAGAAGGCGGAGAGGAGGCAGCATTAGCCACACTGCCATGCCATGCGTCTTCCTTCTCCTGCTGTGAAGGACAGGATTAAATTATATCACACAGACTCACTCCAATGTGACAACAGTTCTTGGGATAATTTTATATGAAAAGCTGCTACATTTTTTTCCCTTTAATCTTGTTGGCCCCACTTCTCCTTAACTCCATCATGCTGGTGCTCCCCTCCTCATGCTCAGCAACTGTCCTGACCCTGGCACAGCAGTGTCACTGCCTCCTGGCTGGGGGTGTTGCTTTGGCTCCTGGGCTGATGACCCCAGAAGGACAATTCAAAAGTAAGCTGGAGGCAGAAACATATTTTTTAATTTTATTTTTGTGGATTTATCATTTCTTGAAGAATAAAACCCTGTAGTTATCAGCTGAGGAATAGTTTCTCTGACCTAAAGACCACCTGCATCTTAATCCAGAGACTGAGCAGAGCCAGGGCTCCTTGCAGGGAACAAAACTCACCACAGGAATTGTAGATTTCAAAGAACACACGTATTCACACGTCCCTCCAGGAACTGGCTTCCCTTCTCTGAGATGGCAGCCCTCCTTGTGTATGGTAAATCCATTTATAATGCTCCCTCCTCCATGCAGATGCACATGCCTTATGGAGCAGATGAGGGTGTGTATTAGGAAAACACATATGCATATATATATATATATATATGGTATGTGTGTATATTTTTGGACAATCCTGTGTCATGGTGCTCATCTGATTCCAGTTTCCTAATGCTGCCCCCATGTCCTTTGCCATATTCCAAAGACCCACAGTGAGCAGCTAAAAGCTGTGGCAGCAGTGTTTGGAGAGAGCCCCATGGTTCTGGGGGCTGCTGTGCTTTGCAATTCCACTTTGCTGGGCTCTCTGGTTACACCTGGGACTGACATGATGATTATGGAAAACATGTCTTCCCTGAGGAGAGCTGTGTCCATAGGTCTCTGCAGAGACCAAGCTGGGCACAGAGCAGTCCTGTCCTCCAGCTCTGGCTCTCTCCTGTTTTATTGCTTAAGCTGTGAACTCCATCATCTCATCCCAGGCAGGAGAGTTCCAGCTGCTCCAGGGTGTGAGGGCAGCAGGGGAGGAGCAGGAGCCCACATCCTCCTCAAGCTCTTCAGATCCCACTGGGATGCCAGTAGCCCTGGGACCAACACCAATGTGGAACAAGGCAGGGCATCTGTGAGAACACCTCTGGAGGCCTGTCCTTAGCTCAGAATGAAAACCCCACATCATTTACCCAGCTTGACTCTGGTTTCTCACAGATAGGCAGGCTGGAAAATGTTGTCCATGTTCCTGAGCAGCTCCAGCCTCATCCTGCAGAGCTGTTGCCCACAGAATCCACATGTCCCTAGGAGCCCACCATGGGCACCCTCTGCTGATCAGCCAATGGGGACTTCATTACTAGGATGAGGAGGAAAGTAAAGAGCCTCCATCCAAGCAACTCTGGCACTTTATAGCAGAGGAACATACTTTTTTCTCAGCATTGTAGCTCATGAACCCTCCCACACCAGCCAGCCTTTGGCTCTCACACGGTGCCTGTCACCCTTACTAGGCTGTGTCTGCTCTTCTGCACCATGATTCCCCCCCCTGATTGCATGAAGGAGCAGCTCTGTGCTCTGCCTAGCACAAACCAGCAGCAGCTCCCAGCAGAGATGCATCTGGGCAGTTTTTCCCTCAGAAAATCTGGGTGAGCTCCCTTAAGCATGCTTCCAGTTTAGGGAGGACCACAGGGATCCCTAAGGCAGTAAAAGCTCATTCTCCTGCCAGAGGAGCATGAGCTGTGGGAGCATAGAGAGGATATGTGGCCTCCCCACCACTTGTCCACCCTTGCCAGGTACTCACAGCACCAGAATTCACTCTCACTGCTCTGGCTTTGCTGATTTGGAGCTACCCTCCAGCTGCTGAGACACTTCTCCACGTGAGGAACAACCTCCTGCTGCTATTGGGCATCCTGCAAAACCTGCTTTTGGACAACAAAACGTATTTTTTCCTCCAGCCTAAGGAAGGATTCTCAAGGCAACCCTGAGTACTTTGTGATGGGCGGGGGAGCCCTCACCCTGCAGGGGGAGCATCCTGCCTAAGCCCCTTTTCCATCCCCTCACACCAGGGAGAAAACCAAAGAGAAAACCAAGCCAAGGGCCAGGCTCCCTGTTCCCCAGCCAGGGCTGGGTTAGAGTGGGTGAACAGGAACAGCTTCCCCAGAAAAGAGGGAGCCAGGACTGGCCATAACAAACCCAGGACAAGGAAGAAGTCTGGCCTTCCAGAAAATGGTGCTATGTTTGGACTATTCCTGACTAGTCACTTGAAGCTATGGACAGTTTGTTATTTCAGTTCTCAGCTATTCATGTTTAAAAAGTGAAAAGAACTTTGTACAAAACTGGGCATTTTTTAAAAATTGCTTGCAAAGTAAAGAAATGCTGCCCATGGGGTTATGCTTGTATGGGCAGTTTTCTGACGCAGTTTATAACTGATCCTGTTAAAAGACTGTGTTCTGTTGTTTTTAAAACCATGTCTATTTGTTCAGATTTTAAAAGCTGAAAAACTGTTTGTACTGGAAAGGAAAAAAATAAAGTATTTCTTGCTGAGGTTTCCAGGATGAAAATGACTTGTGTGGCTTCCAGAAGTGGCAGACAGGATGCCTTACACACAGGGGGCAGGGAAGGAGAAGGTAGGTGCCAGACTGGAGGAAGGAGTCCAGCAGTGCTTCTGCCTTTGTTTTACTTTATAACTTTTAAAAACCTCCCATGAAAAGAGAATTGGGGATGCTCAGCCTGGAGAAGAGAGGGCCATGGAGGGGCCTCACTGCAACTGTACAGGACTTGAAGGGTCCCATAGGAAAGATGGGGACAGTGTTCAACAGGGTCTGTGGTGGGAGGAGAAGGGGAGATGGCTTTCAGCTGCAGGAGGTTGTATCTAAGGAAACTGGTATTTTACTAAGGGTGGTGAGGCACAGGCCCAGGCTGTGCACAGAGGCTGTGCATGCCCCATCCCTGGGAACATCCAAGACCAGGCTGGATGAGGCTCCTAGCAACCTTGTCTTGATAGATCCCATCACTCCCAGGACCCACTTGGTAGGATGCTTGAATAAGAATAAGCCAAATCACATTTTAGAAAGGACTTGGAGCCTGGCTCCCACTTCTATGCACAGGGCTAAAGCAGGCAAGAGACAACCTTGATTAAGGCACTGTTTATTATTGGTTTTCGTTCAGAACACTCAAAACACCAGCATCTTCCATCTACCTTTACAAGTTGGTGGGCAGTTTCAGCTATCAAACTGCAGGTAGCTGGACTGTCTGGAACATTGGTCATACCAAAGGTAGTAATAGCTACGGCAGAGGCTCATCAATAAATACAACAGTGAACAACCACCAGCTTTAAAAAAGAGCCGGGCTTTAGAGGAGCTACAAACACCAGAAGAGAGAGACCCAGCTTTCAGGAATTTGTGCTTAGCAACTGGAGTTTTTGTAGAGTCAGAACTCCCTCTTACCCCCTTTGGCTTCCTGCTAAAGGGTGTCATGACCTCTATTACAAGTGCAAAATGCCCAAGCAGCAAACAGGGAGGGTGAGGTGCACCTGGAGCATTTAGTCCTAGCAAAGAACATGCAGGAGAGCTCTAGGTCAGGCCTCCACAGGGACGGGGTTAGGAGGAGCTATCCCAGTCATCATCAGGCAATGAAGATCTCCAGTGGCTGTACTTTGGGGACACCAGAGCAGCGCTGCTCCTGTGTCCCACAGGAGGGAAGAACACCTCCACCAGCTCTGACAGCTGCTCATACCTGTGGGGGTGAGAAAGAAGTTACACTGAGGTCATTGAGTGTTTGTTTGATGCTTCTCTGCATCACAGCTGGGTCATCCCGAAGATGCAGAGGAATAAACACTTTGCTTACGTTGACTTTTGGTTTTTTGTGAGCTCCTGGATCAGCTCTCCTTTGGGGTTTACTGTGAATATGCGGCTCTCTGGCAGCCCCACTTGCTTGTAAGTGTGGACATCCTGCCCAAGGAAGGCCAGCACAGAGTGAGAGCTGCAGGAAGGCACCAGCACCCAGCCTGAGCCCTCCCTGCACACCCAGAGACTCACTCACATGGGGCGTGTTCCCAAAGCCTGCGTAGAAGGGGAACTTTGTAGCAAACAGTTTTCGGATGTCTGTCAAGCAGGGGATCTTGAACATCTCTGGGTTATTCTCAATCACCTCCCTGCAGCACAAGAGACACGATCACAGTGGCAATTCTGGCCAGGACTGTGGGCACCAAAGCTGTCTGGGGTTCAGGGAAGTCATTTGAAGGGCAAGAGGTTTTGTGCTGTGAAGCTCCAGCAAGGTTAGGCAGCCCCCCAGCATTGTGCACCAAGGAGGGCAGAGCAGTTTAAGGCCAGGACATCCCTCAGGGTCAAGCTGGAGAAGGGGGTGCTGTCCCCAGGGACAGAGGAAGTGCAGGAAAAGACAGTACCTGTGGAAGGCAGACAAGAGGCTGCTGGGGGAAAGCAGCATGGGGCCCATTGGGAGGCCACAGCCCTGCTCATTGACCCTTTGGAGGTAGCCTTTGGTGATGTGGGCCATGCCAATAGCCCTGGCTGAGCAGTAGAGGAACTTGTAGCCATTCCTAGAGAGAACACAGGGAGCCCCTCTGAGCTGTGGCCTGGGCAAAGCATTCTCCTACTCTAAGGAGGAAGACGTAGCCAAGTACCTGGCCTAAGACCAAATCTTATTCCAGTAAGCAAGGTGGCTCCACAAAGAACATGAATCACTTATCTGGAAACTCCATCTAAACCCAATCCTCACCTGCCTCACACTGGGAGCCCCTGCACCACCCTCCATGCTTGTCCCAGCAGGCACACACCCACCCAGCCCAGCTGCACAGCCCCCATTGGTGCTCAGCACCCTCACACAGCACTTTTATCCCACAGCACTGCCTGCCAGCTGTGGAGGGCAGTACCCAGCCCTTGCAGATGCCTGGGCAGAGGTGGTACCCGGTGGCCAGAGGCAGCCGAGATGCCGTTCCTGCGATCCTCAGGAGCGCATCCCTCCCGTGCTCCTCCCGGGGCCACAACGAGCCATCCACGGCCCCACAGTGCCTCTCAGTGGCCACAGGGGCCAGGCACCAAGCTGGAGGCTCTGCAGGGACTCATTGCTAGTGACACCCCTCACAAGGAGTCCCCTGGGTTGTGGGAAGCAATTGCTGGGTGCCCAGAGAGGTACCAGCACTGCAGTGCTGGGACCCCCGTGCCCCCCTCTCAGGTGTGACCTCGGGTGGTCTTGTCTCCTCTGCTGTTCAGCTATGTCTCCCCAACAAAGCCTCCACTGACACACACTCCTTCCAGGGAAGGTAATCCCAGCATCTGCTCCCAGGGGACCCTCTGCTTTCACCCCTCAGCATCATATAGCCA